TTTTCAACATAAGGGCTTTGAATGTCTCATTCCATTGTTCAAATAACAAATTCCTAAACAAACACACAGTTTATTGTGCATCATTGCCTCAATTAGGTTGGAGAGGAACTCGTTTCGACTTTGTTGATGCATTTCAAGCTGATGTTATACAATAAAAGAGTAAAAGCTGTCACGTAGACTATTGGTATTAGCACTGTTACAGGTAATTTTGGAAAATATAAATATTTTTTGAAGCAATCGTTTCCGATTAAACAAGGTGTATTATTTGTCTGAGTGCTTCACAAACCTCATTCCATTGCGACCCCATTCAGACTTTGCATGATTCTTGGGTACAAATTTGGAGGAAATGAGAGTTGTTGTGGAGACTGTGTAGAAGTGGGACAGCTGTTTGTATGGGAGGGTTTGGGTATATGGGGTGGAGTTGGTTAAAAGGCAGGATTTTGCTGAAAATAAATTCCCCACTCAAAGGATTTTTTTTTTAACAGTGACAATTGGGGTTCAGAGAACATTATGCCTTGCTCACCAACTAGAAATACAAGCATTTGTCAGAAATAAGTCCAAGCTCCATGGCATCCATGGAACTTACAAACCCAAAATCTCGTTTCACAACACTCTTGGGGTTGTTTGGGAAGTCATGCTTTGCCTCTTTGACTGGGCTCTGGAAAAGGGAGGGCAGTATGGACACCATACTAATGAACATTTATTAACTATTTACATTACTTATAGAGTCATGGTTCAGCAGGACCCCATTACAATCTTCTTCCCTCAGATCCCACTTCCATGTGATGGGACATAATCTGACATCACTGATGATGAACTCTGGCTATTAGTAAACCAGCTATTAGCCCCCTTTATTGCAGTTGTATAGCTTGCAATCCAACTATGATCTTTAACATGTCCTTTAAAGGCTCAGGCTTTTTTTCCTTTGTTTAATTACTGACATAACTTTCCTTCTACAAATTCTGGGTCAAGCAGTATTCTGTGCTATCCTGCATTTTGCAGTTGTGCTGAATTTCGGCTCATAAGTGGCCCTCGAGCATACTGTGTTTTGTTTACTGGTTTCTGCGAAAGTAGCGTTCAATACCAAATGGTGGGGATGACCCATGAAGAAATTAGAACTAAATGAGGGATAAATCCTAATGAGATCCAAACATTGATGAATACTACTTCCCGCTTCTTGCTCAATGCTTCAGAACTAATTTGGTTCAACCAGCTGAGCTACATTTGGAAAAATCTATCCTTCAGGATGCCTCTGTACACAATGAATAGAATTCCTGAGTATTCAGTGCTTTGAAAATGAATCCCACACATTGATTTAATTATTGTCTGCAAAGTGTCTTGCTTCACTCAGTAACAGACAGAGCATGCCTTGGCCCAAATAATATGAGGGAATTGAAATATGAAATTGTAAATCATCCATAATTTTTTTTATTAGAAGGCAGCACTGACTTCCAACTTACTGTCCCACTTGAATTTGTCTTCAGTTCCACACGCACACGGTGAGCAAATCTTGGCACTGCTGTTTGAAATCTCTAAGCAAAGACTCTATACTTTCTTCCACAGAGGGACAAAATATTCGAGGACATGTCAGCAGGGATCAGACTGAAGTAACCAGACAATGAAATACATGTTTGCTTTTGAGTCAAAACGTGAAAGGGTATATTTCATCAATGGGTTTTATTTAATGGGCTTCCTTGGTATCAGCATAAGTTGGCAATAAGTTCTAAAGAAATGTAAAATTATATATTTTTAAATACAATTGTTCCTCGTTAAATAAATTGGTCAATTGGCATGGGTAGGTAATTTGTTATTTCTAAATGGTTGCGATTAATTCCCTTTTGAAACACAATGTTTTCTTTTATTGTTCTGATCCTTAGAATTCAATGCTCCTTTTTGCTTACTTTATTTGAGGTAATAGAGGCACTAATGGAATGTTTACACTAAAGTGTAATTAGAAATTGCCAAAAAAAGTTATGTAGTCAATGAGTGGAATTTGTAAAAAACAATAATGTTTCTCATAAGTCTTGCTATTCGGTAATTTTTTTTAAACAGTGACTGTGCTTTCTATTCGTGGCTAGATTTGTGTTCACTAAACGTAATGGTTCATCAGGTTATTAAAATTATGTTAGTGTTAAGGGGATTAATGTCTTGGAAAAGAGTTTGATAGTCCTGGTTTGTTTGGGGATGAGAGAAACAGGAGGCATATATGATGATTTTATTTTATTTCAAAAATATACTTTATTTATAAATTACCTATAAGAATAGTGCAAAACAGTTCTGTACAGACTTTGCAGAAGGTACTGTGGAGTTTTGACATTTGTCATTAGAGTTTCAATCCAGAGGCATTTTCTAAACATGGAAGGAAACTATTTACATTTTCATTAAGGCTACAAGAGTATCTTAAAATGTAATAGATTGTCGTTATATTCTGGCAGAAAGACCTTACAATGTGGTCTTTCCCCACTGTGCCTTCGTGGCAGATGCTCCACGTTCTAATGCCTCCTTCAGCACATAGTCCTGGAATTGGAATGTGCCAGTTTGCAACGTTCAGTCAAAATCAACTCTTTGCACTGAAAGACCAACAGGTTTTGGGTAGACCAAACAGCATTGTTCACTGAGTTGATGGTCCTCCAGGAGCAGCTGATGTTTGTCTCAGTGTGCATCTTGGAGAGCAGCCCATAGAGCACAGAATCCAGCGTCACAGAGCTGCTCAGGATGGACCTTGACATCTCTCTCCAGAGCTGTTTCTTTGTGATGATACTTTCACTGTGGGATTTACACTATTGGATCGTACATAAATGCATGAGAAAGGTTTGACAAAAAAAAGCTTTACAAAAGTGATACATGTTAAATAACAACTGTCCTATCTACAAATGTGTGTTGCTCCTACAAAAATTTGTATGTGCATGTGCATTAATCTGTGTATTAAGACATGGAAAGACAAGTAAAATCATTTACTAGTATCCCTTTTCCTTTAGAATAAACCATTTTACATCAGGTTACCTGCTTTAGGGCTAATAGGGTTAATAATTATTGGAGTTTGAAACAAATGGCAAAAGAGGAAATAAAACATATTGACCAAAGTATTACAGAATTTTGATGTTGCGTTTATGTTTGAAGATTGTCTTGTTTAATTTTTTGGAGATATCTGTAGATAATTTTAATTACAGTGTTGCAAACAATTTGAGTATGAATGGATATATTACTCATATTTGGCTAAAAGAAATTTAAATGAATAAGTAAAATGGAATTTCAGATGATAATTGATACCTGGACTTTTGCATGAACTTTATGTTATGACATTCTTCTGCAAAGATATTAATTATTGTAAGTGGGCATTGCTGACCATGCCAGCATTTATTACCCACTCCTAATTGGCCAGACGGCAGTTTAGAAACAATCACATTGTTGTGAGTCTAGAGTCATATGTAAATCAGACCACACAAAAATGGCTGCTTTTTTTCTCCCTAAAAGGAATAAGTAAATCCAATTTTTTTTAAAGGAAAATCAACAGAGGTTACGCAGTTGCTATTAGGCTAGTTTCTTATTCCATATGTTTTATCATTCAATTCAAATTTTGCCATGTGACCTGGTGGGATTCGAACCTATGTCCCAATATTCTGATACCATTGATATTACCAGTACCACCCCTCAAAGAGAAATCAAAACACTGTGGTTTACATAAGATGGAATATTAGATGTAAATTGTGGATATTCCTAGTATCTAGTGCATACCTGCTTTTCTTTGAACTGTCAGATTTTTTTTTGAAATGCTTGAATTTTCTAAAGAGACTTTACTGAATTTGTGAATATAGACTGGAATATACAATACTAATACGTTAGCCCAGATATTATCTCCTAGAGAAATATTAGATAGTAGCGCAGTATCGTTCCTTGGCTTGATACCATTTCTCACCTAAATTATCTTTCTTAGCAACTAACTGGAAAATGTGTTACATTCACATACTCACTGATGACACCCACTTTACCACCACTTCTCACAATGCCCCTCAAAATTGGCAGTCTCTACATCTGCCATCCACTACTGGATAAGCAGAAATTTCTTGCAATGAAATATTGGGAAGATTGAAGTTAGTGTCTTTGGTCACTCCAACACGTCCCAGTCAATGACTCCATCCCTTGCTCTGGCACTGTTTGAGGCTGAACCAGATTGTTTGCAACCTTGGTGGTATATTTAACTCTTGATGAACTTCTGACCACATATTTGCTATATCACCAAGATCACTTATTTTCAACCCCTTGACAAAACCTGATTCTGACATGGCTCAGTTCAATTTCTGTCAAAAGCCTAATTGTGAATTTGCTACGTCCAGATTTAACTATTCTGAACCTCTCCTGCACATCTTTCTAACTTCTAGCCTACATAAACTTTAGCTTATCTAAACCTCTACTGCCTGTATCCTAACTCAAATCAATTCCATTCATCTATCACCCCTATGTGGACTAAATTAGACAGGCTCTTTAACCTGCAATTGCTCGGTTTTAATATTCTCATTCTTGTTCTCAATTTACTCCATGGCCTCATCCCTCCCTATCTCTGTAACCCCCATCAGAGTTCATGTAACCATCTGAAATCTCTGTATTCCTACAACACTGACACCTTGAGCATCCTTGATTTTAACTGCTCTAGCATTGGCAGCTGCGCCCTGCACTGGCTACGCATTAAATTCTGGAATTCCAACCCTGGAATCTCAAACCTCCTTCAAGGCACCTTTAAAAATCTGCATTTTTACTCAAGCCTTTAACTCGCTGAAGTGAAATTGCCTAATGACACTTAGTGACAAATTATTTGACAATGCTCCTTGAAATTTTAACATTAAAGATGCTGTGCAAATTCAATTTATTGTTGGTATTATTTGTAAAAGGTGAGTGTTAAATAAAGACATGTAAACAAACTGACATGGATAATTGCAAACATAGAAAATCAATGTCACCATCAACATCAATATAATAGAGAGAAAAGGAAGAACAATTATATATTTCAAACTGTGCTTTTATTTTATATTACAGGTAGAAAATATTTGCATAACTTCCATGAAACAGGTTACACTAACAGCAAGAATGCAAAAAAAAAACACTGATACAAATATACAGGAAAATCCAAGCTTTGGAAAACATCAAAGACACAACACACAAAACAGGAACTTTGTCTATTTAACTTAACAGCCATTCCTGAACAAATGAGAAAATGGAGTGTGTTTTGCCCATGAGATTTTAACCAGTGACACAATGTTATTGTACATTCTAAAGTAGAATCGAACTCCAGCCCCTCCTTTGGTTCCTTTCTGGGCACAGCTCTGGTAAACAGAGACATTCTTTTCCCTATAAAATGCAGCAAAAATACAAATTCAAAAAGAAAAGTATACAAATAAAAGTAAGAAAAATGGCAGCTAACCATCTTGAGAGATCATAAAAGGGCTTAACTCATCAAGGGCCTGTTTGGCTAGTGCAGTGTAGAAAACCGCAAGTATTCACCTATAATGCAATGCAGTTGTATTGCCAATAACAAGCTGCCTTGTTAAAGCCTTTTTTTTAACAAGTTTACACCAGCAGACAAAAGCAACGTTGCAATTATTTTGCACTGTTGTGATGAGCTGGCAGTGCTTTCAAAGCAATAGTAGAATAAAATCAACCAGCTGTACAAATTCTAGAAACAACCATTTCAGCATTTCTCATTATAATTCTATATGACATGCTTAGGGGTAATAGTAATCTTATAAAACAAAATTAGTAACCCTACATTAACAGCTTAAATACAATGGAGAACATGCCACGAGATTTTCCTCAAGCATGATTGGTGTTTCTTTCCCCATTTTTCATTTAAGTTACAAGTGGCACTTCTCAAAGCTAACCTATATTGACATCTATTTGCCAAAAGCCACTATGTGAATAAGAGACAAATCTGATCCTAAACACAGTCAAATATATGTGGCACTAAAGGAAATTTAGGTAGCGGGAAACAGGTTACAATGAGCCAGAGGTATCAGGGAAGAATAAGAGGCATTAAAAGACCTGACAACTGAAGGTATAGCCTCTCATTATCTATAAGCAGATGTGGTTGCATTGCTTTTCAACTCCCCAAAGCTAGGAAGCAGAATCTTCTTCAGGAAAGTGGGGTCCTCTGGAGTTTGCCCTATTTATATGTTTACTTTGCCACAACATGTTATAAATGCTTCACAACTAAGCTACTCAGGTGGCTTTGTGGCAATGGATAAGGCAATACCATGAACACAGCAATTAATCTGTTTTCACTTTGTTGATTAGATTATGTGAGTGACTGTATACCACACATTTGTTTTCTTCAGTTCGTCATTAGATGCTGTGACCATGACCCATTAGATATACTAATCTAGAAATGCAACGATGTAATTTCTGGGCAACACCTAGAGAGGGCACTACTGGTTAAGGCACTCAAACTGGAAACAACTAACATAGTTTTTGTATGAAATCAGGATTAATCTACAATGAAACTATAACCTAAAAGAGCAATTTTTAGTGCTAGTTAAGCTATATGTTATGATATTCTATTTTAACAACGAAATCTCTGGTCAACTACTGTCCAGAGCACAATATTTAAAGATTTAACATACCATAATGCAATAATCCAGTAGCAGTTGTTTGCATTTAAGATAAGGTTTGTAAAATGCTTTTTACAGCCTAGTGAGCCAAGAAGTTGAAGCCTGACATGAAATTTCTGAAAAAATAAAATTAAAATAACTGCTGAGGCAGATTTCTTCGTACTGTATTGTACTGTGCTTTCTAAAGTGCTGGCACAATTGCAAAAGGTAAGGAAATGTGCTTCTACTCTTGTAAGAGAGGAAGCATCTACTATTCTAGCTGGTAAAAATACTGGTAGCTAATATGCAGTAGCATGGACTGAGATCTTAACTATGCATTGAGTGTTCTGCTAATAGTTACGTTCATTATTGGACAAGGGAAAAAAAAGACTATCTCCACTATTGTTCTGAAACTTTACACTTATTTCCTTTCAACATTTGTGCGCATAGGTTCTGAAGTTACTTTTGTTGTGAAATATTTCCTAATTTGCATTGCAAAAGTGACAATTATTAACCCATTCTTTTGAGTTTATTGTACATAAAACAAACAATACAACCAGTGAAAGATGACAGGTTTCAACATATTTGTGAAAATGTACACAGGAGAGCAGCAAGCAAACAATTCAGCAAAAAAAATCAAAATATCTAATCACTTTGTTGTATGTTTTTCTTAAATCTTTAATCCAATCCATGTCATGACAGCACCTGGCTATGATCTGCACACCCATATTTCTGGAGGTGCTGATGGTATTTCCATAAGGCCATCTTCAGAGTCTGTTGGAATCTCTGTGTGTTTGAGAGGTTTCATTCTATTCAAATAATATAAAGGGGTGACAATGCAACCTAGACTCAGCTATGACTTGAGCAGCTGAGATAAGGAATTTTCTTTGAGTAGATCTATGCCATTAGTGGAGTCATTGAATGGATTAAAGAGTTGCTTTGAACTGAAATGCAATGTACAGTACAGTTACACACATTGTTGGATACCCTCCTTCCACTGAAGAGCTAAGCATGAACTCCTTAGTGAACACAAGTATTGTGATATGCCTACTAATTCACATTAATTTCCTGTTTTCTTGCAAATTTCTTGCTAACAAAATATTCCTACAAAGAGCATGTGCTAATATTCATTTCTAAAATTGTGATTCTTTTGATAGAAGTACAATACAAAGAATCTTCTTTTGTAACAAAAAGTAAACATAAGGCACTTATCTTTGCATACTTTAGAAAGTCTAATTTTTTTAAACTCAACATATTCTTTCACAATAATATCAATCAATTCTTTGGAACTCTTTAAATGTTTCATGTGAATTTTATTGGAATGATTTGGGAAGACAGTTCTTGTTGAAACTGAGAACTCATCCAAATAACTGTTCAATGGGAGTGGTGCCTAATCACCATCTGATACTATTCAGTTATTACGAAACAAGTCAGTTTTGTTCTGTTACCTGAAGTGAATTATTTCTAGAAAGAGAAATAACAGTTTTTTGTTTTACATCGAACAATTTTCCATCGAGGCAGCATGGCCTGAGATCTTCACACGATCAACATTTTCATAATGATAGTGGATCATTATGGATCTTTTCACGGTCTTGACACTAACTTTAACTATGAATGTCCATGAACAGAGGCACTTGAGAGGTCATTTCGTATGATTTCATTTACTGCGGAGAAACAAAAGAGAAATTATCACAAACAGGCCATTAGAAGCATTATCAGTTTTTCTTCACACTTTACTCAGTCACTGCTACAAATGTCATTTGATACCATCCTAAGAACAATCCCTGCTTCCAAACAATTCCCAAAACAATATCTTTTATACTGAGTAAATTCAGACATGCATTAGCATATACATTGCATGTGCAGACATCCAAATGTGCAATAAATGAACTAACAGATGTATGGTGCTCATCTTGATACATAACTAGTTTAACATTATTTTCTATCAGTTTTTCATGGGATGTGTGGATGTTGCTGGCAAAGCAGCATTTGTTGTTCACTCCCAATTGACTTTGACCTCAGCAGCTTACTAGGCCATTTCAGAGAACAGTTAAGAGTCAACTGCGTTGGTGTCATGGGTAGGATGGCACAGTTAATTTCCTAAAGGGACATTACATGCACCAGACAGCTTTTTGCAACAACTGATGATATAATTACTGAGACTTATTTCCAATTCCAAATTTATGAATTGAATTTAAATGTCACCAGTTGCTTCGGTGGGATTTGAACCCATGCCCCAATTAACTTGGGTCTCTGGTTTGCCTGTCCTGTATTATGAGAACTATGGCATTAGGCATCAAGCAACTACTGTACAATATTTGTAAAAGCAAGCTAACACCAACACTGGAAGTGGAAAATTCATGCATACATTGCCTCATCAACTACTCTTTCCCTTGAATTAAGTAGAAACTTGTTACTAATTGGAGGAGGTACACAGCACAAGCTTAAAACACGAATACAATAACACAGCAGATAAGTAATGATTTGCTTATATCAGCAAGTATATTATACCAGTTGTCTTTGCAATGTATTCAAATAAACCTTGTTTAATTCAAAAATGTATGCTTTCTTTCTTTCACACATCCAAATTGCAGATAGTAACAATCTGGTACAGCACTATTTAAAATATTCTTTTTTCAAACATTCAATGTTGAGACGTGGGTATTGTTGAGATTTCGTATTTATTGATTGTTAATGTATCTATCCAAATCACTGGTAGTAGTTTAATGCAATTGACTGGCTTGGTAGACACTTCAGAGGATGATTAAGAGTCAAACACATGGTGTGGAATGACAGACACATGTAGGCACAAGCTAGCTCAGGATGGCAAGTTTCTTTCCCCAAAGGACAATAGTAAAATGTTTTAAAAATCCAGTGATTTAAACTGAATTCAAATTCTAAAGCTGCCAAGGTGGAATTTGATAGTGGTGTAGTCCAGGGATATAATCACTACACCCTCGGTTGTGCCTCTAGTTCTGCCTACAGTCTCCAAGTTTATATATTGTGGGCTGCTTTAAATGGCTCTTAAACAATATTATGAAGGGATGTTATTCTGAGCAACATGTTTAAATAAAAGCATAAAAACAAAAGCAGTGGGCCCAATTTTAACTTGTTTTATCTTGCAGTTTTACCTTCTAAGGAAAGAAACGTTTTGCCTCATCTGTGATTAACATGGAATCACAAGGATTTGTACTTGAGCCTCAGCTTTTAACAAGATATATAAATGATTGGGAGCTGCAAACCAAATGCAATATTTATAAATTTGCAGATAATGCAAGCTATGGGAGAATATATGTTATAAAGAAGATGTAAAATGGTTTCAGGACAATTTGAACAGACTTAGTGAGTAGGCAAGAACACGGCAGATGGAACATAATGTGGAAAAGAATGCGAAGTAAGAGGTTAAATGGTAAGAAGTTGGAAAGTAGACGTACAAAGGTACAGCAGGTGATGAAGAAAGAAAATGGTATGCTGGCCTTTTTAGCAAGAGGATTCAAGTACAGGAGTGGGGATATCTTGCTGCAATTGTAAAGGCCCTTCTTGAGACTACACCTGGAGTATTGTGAGCAGTTTTGGTCTCCATCCTGGGGAAGGATGCTCTGGCTATGGAGGGAGTTCAACAAAGGTTTACCACACATATTGGGATGGCAAGACTGACCTATAAAGAGAGATAGGATCAGTTAGGACAATATTCAGTGAAATTGAGAAGAATGGGGGGATCTCATAGAAACCTATGAATTCTAACAAGACCAGACAGGGTAAACACAGAAGGGCACTCCCAATGACTGAGGAGCCCAGAGTCAGGGGTTAGAGTTTAAAAACAATGGGTTAGGCCATTTAGGACTGGGATGTGGTGAAATTTCTTTACTCAGTGAGTCATGAGGTTGTGGAATTCTCTGCCACAGAAAGCATTGTGGTCAAAACATTGAATATTTTCAAGAAGGAGTTTGATATAGTTCTTAGGGCTAAAGGATCAAAGGGTATGAGGAGAAAGTAAGAAGCTGGATGATTGGTTATGATCATATTGAATGACGGAGCAGGTTCGAAGGGCTGAATGACCCACTCTATTTTCTGTGCTTTAATAGTTTTAGGTGTCCTTGTCAATAAGTCACTGAACTCTCACATGCAAGTGCAGCAAGCTGTTAGGAGGGCTAATGGAACGTTTGCCTTTATTGAAAGAGGATTTGAATGCAGGAGAACTGAAGTCTTGCTTCAACTGTATAGGAGCTTGGTTAGACTACATCTGAGATACTGCGCATAGTTTGGTTTCCTTAATTCAGGCAAGACGTTGTTGCCAATGAGGGAGTACAACAAAGGTTCATCAAATTTTTTCCCGGGATGCTGCAATTGTCCTACAAAGCGAGATTGGGCAAACTAAGCCTGTATTCTCCAGAGTATCAAAGAATGAAGGTGATCTCATTGGAACAATCAAAATATGTAAAGGGATGGACAGGGTAGATGCACATGTTTCCTCTGGTTTGGGAGTCTAAAAACGAGGGGTATAATTTAAAGATAAGGGGATGCTGATAGGACTGAGATGAGGAAAAATCCTTTTACTCCATCAGGTTGAAAGTCTTTGGAAATCTCTACCCCAAAGGAAGCTTACCAACGTCTCTACTTCTTCAGATGTCAAATGAAATTCAGCATGTCCACAATGACTCTTACCAATTTTTATAGATACACCATAGAAAGCATCCTATCCAGAAGCATTACAGCTTGGTATGGCAACTACTCTGCCCAAGACTGCAAGAAATTACAGAGAATTGTGAACGTACCACAGTCCATCACGAAAACCAGCCTTCCTTCCATTGAATCTGTGTACACTTCCTGCTGCCTCGGGAAAGCAGCCGACATTACTGAAAACCCCCTCACACTAGTTATACTCTCTTCTTCCCTCTTCCATTGGGCAGAAGTTACAAAAGTTTGAAAACACGTACCAACAGATTTAAGAACAGCTTATCAGACTTATGAACGGTACTCTCGTATTAGTGTTGACCTTTCTCTGCACTTTCTTTGTAGCTTTTAACACCATATTCTGCATTCTGTTCTATCATCCTGATGTTCTTATGTGAAATAGGATGTATCTGGTTAGCAGGCAAAACAGTACTTTTCACTGTATCTCAGTACATGTGACGATAATAAATCAAATCAAATCAGTATTTGAGTTTAATTAAAGTTGAGATTGATGGATTTCTCATTACCGATGATGCAAAGGGTTATCAGGATTTTGTGGGTAAAAGGCATTGAAGTGTTCAATCAGCCATGGTCATATTAAATGGCAGGGTAGTTATGGCAGGCTGGATGGCCGACTCCTGTTCCTACATTCCTATGACAGTTGATGTGGAATATAACATTCTGGTTTTAGAAAGAAAGACCTTTTATGATGTAAGAGTCCAATTCAGAAAACTCCCCCAAAAGTGACTAAGAAATACCTTCTTTAGTCTTTTGAGAAAATTAAGTGAGTAGTGTTCGATTTTTCCAAGACCAGTGGGTGCTAGAGAGAGCTCAGGATAACATGATCTACATTTCAGAATCAGAAGATAGCCACTGAGGGATAACAGCACAGGAAATTCTTGTGATTAAATGCACTATGTTGGCCAGCATGGTTTATCCACAGGAAGCACATTTGCACTTATGTTGAAAAATTAAGTCTCTAGAGTAGAGGATCTCTGTGCCTCAAGAACAATTGGTCTCACACAGGACAACAGTTTTCTGGATTGTACCCTTTAGAATGTGTTAACTGTTGTAAGAGATGCCTGCCACTGACATCTGGTTCTGCTAGGATCTCTTTGGGTAGATTTCCTGCCACCAACCCTTCTTCTAATACTGATCTATAGGGCATACTAGTGTTAAATACTGAAGGATTAGCCACTGATAATTTTTCAGCAGGAAAGGCACATAGCAGAGTAACAAGAAATAGTTGATGCTTAATAGTAAGATAATATTTAACATTAACTTAAAACTGGTTAATTATATTAACACTAGGTAAGAGACACTGTTAACCTCCAGAGAAATAGTAATTAGGTCAATGACATGGCTGTAGACCGTAGAACTGATTAACTAACCATAAAACTGACTAGCTCCTCCCAGAAAGTCATTAATGTATCTGTGGACTGAATTGTTTCAAAGTTTTCGAGTTAACCCTTTCAGGCCAAGTGCCTCATACAACAGTAACCACAAAGCAGCAACTGGATCATCTCATGAGGAATAGTCACACATTCCTAAATATGTTTACACTGGGGCCCCCTGATTCTCAATGTGTCTGTAGCTGTTGAGTGCTGGGACTCCAATTTACAGGAAGTTCTCAATTCTGGCTAAGGAATTAGTTCAAGGAAGACAGGGAAAACCTTAATGGTGGGCTTCTTATGAATAGGCGATTGACAAATTGCTGCCTGTCCACAGGGATGTTGCTTAACATCAATGGGCAACCAGTAGCTGCAGGATGGGATCAGGAGGCACGGCACAAGTAACTATGTTTCAGTATAATATCTTGGGCACCCAATTGAGCCAGACCCCTTAAAGGATAGAGTGGCAGGTCACCAAAAGCAGTAGTCAATCAGTGCATGGGGGCAAGGGCTGGCAGTAACTGCAGCGTTATTGCAACAAAAACATTTGTTACACAGCTGCAAAATCCCCGCTGCTGAACAGAAAAAAGATGCCATGC